TTCAGAGATGGGGGAGGGGGTCTCACTGTGTTCTCCAGGCTGGTCTTGAACTCCTAGGCACAAGGGATCCTACTGCCTCAGCCTCCCAAAAGTGAGGGACTTTTTTCTTCCCTGACTATAGGCACACCACTGCACCCAGCCGTAAATATCTCTTGACTCTGTCTAGTTCTCTAAATCCCTGTGCCTACTGGCTAATTCAGATCTATTCTCCAAGCTATGGCCTGCAGAAGCCTTCTACACAGAAAATCTGAATGACAACTGTTTGAAGATTCCATACTCTTGGGTGTACTGGTGCATGCTTATAAACACAGCATTCTGGGAAGCTGAGACAGAAGGACCACAAATTTAAGCCTTGCCTGGGCAACTTAGTTGTCTCAAAAAAGAGGAAAGGAGCTGGGGATGTAGCTTAATGCAAAGGCCCTGGGTTCAATACTTAGTAGTAAAAAAAAAAAAAAAAAAAAAAAAAAAACCCTACTGCCTACAGAAAAATCAACTCCTTAGCCCCTGACACTGACTGACCTTTAAAATCTAGTCCCTGCCCACCTTCCCCACATAATGTCTGCCCAGAAACCTTCTGAAGATTCTTGCAGAACTCACATACTTCTTTAACTCTGGACCTTTGTTTTTGCTGCTCCTTTTGCGGGTGGAATATTCTGTCCTTTCTGCTTGAAGCTCTATTAATGTACTTTCTGCCTCTTCTGTGGCACAGTGTACCTCTTATATGTGGGGTGGCATATTTCACAATCTGACTCATGTGCTGTTTGCATGTCTATGTCCCCCTCGATCATATCTGATCCTTTTTTTGTTTTATTGAGACTGGGTCTCACTATGTAGTCCAGGCTGCCTTGAATTCCCAGGGATCCTCCTGCCTCAGCCTCCTGAGTGCTGGGATGACAGACATACAGGCATATGCAACCATAAGAGCCTAGAATAAGGCCTGGAACTCTGGAGGCAGAAAAATGATTTGTGCTCTTTATTAACGTGTTTATGTAACGTTCTGAGTATTTTTTGATGTTTTTTAAACATCTGATGTCATTTGACCCTTGAGACATTTTATAGATAAACAGGCTCAGAGAAGGTATGCAACTTGCTAATACAACATAACTGCAACACATAGTTATGAAAATGGTGAAATCCTGCTCCTAGCCACTGTGGCATCCTGCCTTTTGTAAGGAGTTATTCTGGTGGACTCAGACCCCACTTGGCCTCTTACCTTGGCACTATATTGGTTGAGCTCTCCACTCTCGTGGCCTGCAATGATGCATTCTCCTAGGGGTCCCCACACAGCACTGGTGATCTTGGAGTCACTGCAAGGGATCTTCATGTAGGGCTCATTACTGTCTGTGTGGGGCAGCAGATATCAGGTCCTGGTCTCCAGAGCTGTATACTTCATCTCAACCCCAGCCCTGGTCCCAGCCCTCACCAATCTGGCTCGGATCCCGCAGGTCAAAGAAGCTCACAAAGCACTGGTAGCCCATCTGCTTGTCCGTGGAAAACATGATGATGTTGCCCCCAAAGTCAAAACCGCAGGTCCGGACAGCTGAATTGGTCTTGAGGAGGGCCAGCTGCTTCCCTGGAGACAGGCAGAGTCTGGGCTATCCCCGTTCACTAACCCTTAAGGCAAGGACTTAACACCTGCCTATCATATCTCAGCTCCTCCTGCTCCAGTGACTCCAGCCCACCACTTTCTTCCTCACTGCTATGCTCTCACTCAAGTCTTTTTATTCCTTCATCACAGTCCCTCCTCAGACATCCTGATTGTGGCAGTGTTCCTAGTGGACTGCAGCCTGTCTGTCCCCCTTAGACTTTGCTTCTCTATAGCATGGAGCAGGTCGGATTTCTCTGTATGACCCCAGTACCGTCATGGAACTGGAAGCCCAGTAAATATTTACTAAATGGATTAGCTTCATAGGCTTCCTGTTTTTAGCACCAGTTCTTCCACTGCTCCTGGACCTTGCTAAAACTAACCAGACCACCTCCAAAGAATGCTATACTACAAAGCCACGCTTCTGAGTTGGGCATCCAAGGCCTGTCTTGCCCAGCCTGACTCTCCTGCCGTATCTTCTCTATTGGCTATCTACTCTACCCCTAAGAAGCAGGCTATGATATTCTCCTTGCTTTTATTCCAAATGTGCCAAAGTGATGACATCTTTCTGTTCCTTTAAGCCCCAGCTTATATAACATTTACCTTGGGAAATCTTCCCAGGCTGCTTCCACCCCATCCTAGGCAGGAATTGCCTAGTTCTGACCTTCCACAGTACTCTACGTTTATTGTCCTACTGTAATGCTTCTTATCTCATTGACTTTCCTTATTGCCTCATATTCTCTAAACTGGGAGCCATCTCTGGATTTGTGTCCAACTCCCCAGAACTTGTTTGCTTAGACAGGTACACTGTAGGTGGTCAAGTTTTTGCTGAAAAAGTAAATGACCTAGGCTTACCTGTTTCACAGTCCCAGAGACGACAGCTGTTGTCAGCTGAGCCAGTGAGGACATGCTTGGTGTCCCCTGGAGAGGGTGTTAAGGAATATGACGAAGTTCATCTGAACCCATATTTTCCAGGGAGGTCAACCAGATCATCTCCCAGTCCAGCCCCAAAGACCTTTCTTCCTCTCTCTTACCTCAGAGCATTTTATACTCCTTATCCTGAACTGGAACTTGTCCTGAATGTTTCCCCAATCAATGAAGGAAAAGAGTAGGAGGTAGTATTGTTTTAACTCAACCCAACTCCCAACCTCCAACTTAGCATCTCCATTGCTGGCAGACCCTACAGCACAGACTCAGAGCAAAAGCAAGGATACAGTCAGCATCCACACACCACACAGCTCCAGTATGTCCTGTGTACGTGCCCAGCCTCTCACCATTTACGGAGTACCATACATTAACAATCTAGAGTCAAATGACAGAATAGTTTACACCCCAGGAAGAGCAATGACCTCCTAGTTCGCCCTAGGAACCCTTTGAAGTTTCTAGCCAAGCTAATTATGCTCTCTCCTGCTCATGTATTGGGCAGCAGAGCTGATGAAAAGATCAACTACTAGAGTTGGGAATCTAGCTCAGTGGTGCCACCACTGCCTTGAAAATGCAAGGTCCTGAGTTTCATCCCTGATACCACCAAAAAAAAAAAAAAAAAAAAAAGATCAGCTACTGGATTCTCTTCCCTTCTTGAGCATGGTAGCACAGAAATTAGCTTGCAAACACATCTTCATTCATTAGCCTATGCCTTCCTTGGACTCATTCTCTCAGAAAAATAGTAGCCGCAAAAAAATAGTACATTTGGTGTCCTACCCAAATGAGAACAGGGATTCTGGGTTCCAGCACCTGCTATCACTATCTCATTGAATGATCTCAACTATGGTACCTCTCCCCTCTGAACTTCAGCTTTGTGTTTTTTGGGGTTTTTTTTTTTGAGATGTATTCAGCTTGGCCTTGAGCTGGCGATGTAGCCCAGGCCAGTCTTGAATTCCTGGCAATTCTCCTGTCTCAGCCTCCCAAATGCTGGTATTACAGGCGTGCACCCCACATTCTCATTTTGAAAATGGCCAGCACATGTGGGCTGGAGCTGGAGCTCAGAGGTAGGGCACTTACCTAGCAGGTGTGAGCCCTGGGTTCAATCCCTAGCACTGTTAACAACAAAAATGGCCAAGATGATAAGTCCTTCAAAGGGTAGCTGTGAGGCGCCAACAAAATTATATCTAAGGAATTTAAAATATAAGTGACTAACCTTCATTAGGCACTCCTACACAGCAGATACTGTGCTGAGTTCCTTACAAAAAACATCTAATCCTGTTAAGGGGCATACTATAAATATTACCCTCCTGGGTGGGTATTTAAAGTTTTATAAACTGGGAAACAACTAAAAAATGGCTTAATGATATGCTCCAAGTCACATGTAGTCACAAGTAGATGCACGAGTCAGGAATCAAACCAAGACTGTTTGACTTCAGAGTTCCCACTGTTAATCACTAGTTAACTGGGGCAGGGGATTAAGCTCAGTGGAGCTGCACCTGCCTCGCAAACTCAAGGTTCTGAGTTTGATCCCCAGTACCAAAAAATAAAAAATAAAATAATAATAATAATTTGTCCGGTTCACTAGTTAACAGCCTCCATATGCAGGTGCCTCAAAATGCTGTACCCAGAGGGACTGTGTGCTTATGAAGGATGACAGCACTGAGACTAGGCAGACCCTCATTAAGCCCCTTTTCTTCCTTGCCTTTTTGATGCTGAGGATTGAATACAGGGCCTCAAGCACGTTAGGACAAACTCCACCTCTGGGCTACACCTCCAGCCTCTCCCCTCAGTCTTTTTTTTGGGGGGTACTGGGACTGAACTCGGGTCCTTGTGCCCACAAGGCAGGCCACCGAACCGCTGAGCTAAATCCCCGGCCCTCTCCCCTCAGTCTTAATGGCACAGTCTTCCACCCATGGGTCAGCTTTGTCCTACTAGTAGTGGTCTGCTCTCCTACCCTGGTAGACTGGTTTACTTCTCAGGAATCAGCCTTGATCACCACAAAGAGCAACAATCGTGCCTTTCCCCATCCACCAGTCTCTTGTTTTGCTCTTCCCCGGCTACTCCTCCCTACCAACATTGGAGTTATTTCTCACATTTCCTAGACAGAATGCTCTCGCCGACCTACCCTCGGGATAATCTTGCCCAACTTTTCAAAATGGGGCATTCTTAGCTTCCCCTCAAGGGGCAAAACTGGCTTTGTACCAGCCGGGCAGAACGCACCCCCCCTTCCCCTCTGTCTGTCCCGCTGCCCTCCCGCCGACGCTCACAGGGTCTTTGGCCACGGTGAAGAGGAGGTCTCCCTCGCGGTTATACTTAATCTGCGTAATGGACCGCTCATGGCCTTGCAGCAATATCGGCTTCTGTAGGGACAGGACAGGTGTGTCAGTGTCCGGAGCTGGAACCCAGCCGAGTCCGGGGCCCCCTACCACAATACCCACAACTCAGGAACTCACCATTCCGGCGGTGACGCTAGATGAGCGGCAACGTGAGGGGAACCGGAAAAGGCTTTCGGGCCACTTCCGGATTATAAGATCCGCCCCCCCGTTCCCGGAAGTAGGAGAGCGGTGTTGCCATGGCGGCGTCTCTGGGTGGGTAGCCAGCCGCACCCCTCCTCTGCCTTCCTCCTCCCAAACCCCAGGATCTTGGATTCATCACCCCAACCTCTCAAGGCCTCCCCTTCCCGCCAGGGCTGGGCAGCCGGGACGTCGGTAGGAGAGCGAGCGGCTGGTTGGGGATACCAGGCCAGAAGAGGGCGAATCCGGGTGGGCTGCCGTTTTAGGCTGGGGTCAGGGTGACTCGAATCTCCGTCTCTCTGTATTCAGGGCAAGTGCTGGCTCTGGTGCTGGTGGCCGCCCTGTGGGGTGGCACGCAGCCGCTGCTGAAGCGGGCCTCCGCTGGCCTGCAGCAGGTTCAGGAGCGGAACTGGGCCCGACAGTTGCTGCAGGAGATGAAGACCCTTTTCTTGAATCCTGAGGTGCGTCTGTGAACGGCCTCCCTCGGAGCAGCCGCTAAGTGTTTATTCTCTGGAATCAAATAGGTCTGGGTCAGAATTTACTAAAAGGAATGAGAAATTAATCTTCTGGGAACCTAAGTTTCATCCTCTGTAAAATGGGAATTACAATGATAACCTTCTTATAAGGCATTTATGGAGAGCCAGGCGAGGTGGCAACGTGTCTATAATTCCAGTGCTTGGGAGGCTGAGGCAGGAGGATCACTGAGAGTTCGAGACCAGTCTGAACTACATAGTGAAACTATCAAAAAAAAAAAAAAGAAAAAAAAAA